AGTATACCAAAAATAAAATTTAATTATTAATTAAAGATAAAGGAATTCCTTTAATTAGAGGTAAAACAATCATAAAATGTGTAATTGAAAATGTATGCTATAAAAACCATAAACAATATTAGGGCATAATTATAAAATTATATTGAGACAACAATATTAGAAAAAAATAAAAAAATTGTCTTGATCCTATAGGGACTCTAAAGACTTTTGAGCTGGTTGCATTTGTCATGTGTTGCATACAATTAAAAGAGCTCTTCTAGATTCTGAAGACCATTCCCTAAGGTTATCGAGATTGGTTTTATTTTTTAGTTTTCTTAATGAAAATAAAAATAGTGCAAATACTGGAAAGGGAGACAAGGACAATGAGAAAAAAATTGTTGATTTTAAATCATTTTAGTTGTTGTCTCTGATGCAAATGGATGTTGAAGGTTGTTGAAAGAGGCGGAACTTGTACTATTTTGATAGCATTGGAATCATAAAAATGTATGGTGGTAAAATGAAAGAGAATGTGTGAGAAATTCCTAAAGAAATTTTTGGGAAACACATAGTTTAGTTATCCTTAATCTAAAACGAGATTACTCGTTATTTTGACAAAGAGCTTTGAGAGGTGAAACTCAAGTATTGATTGTGAGAATCCTTGAGGGATTTAAATATTTTATTTGCGTTAGAGCGAGAACTGCTCCCTGTTTCTTAAAATTTCAGAAACTGTGGTTATATTCTTAAAGACAACCGGAAATTCATTCGATAGAGGATTGTTGTGATTCTTGAAGGATTTTGAAAAGGAATTAGATGTCGATGATAGAGGAGAAGAAGGAGATTAACACCCATAATTGGCACTCAGAACAGAGCACAAATCATGGAGGTTGTGGCTTTGCAATCAATTATACTACTTCCTTCAATTTTTAGTTTTTTGTCGATAAACTATTGTTTTAGACATATTGCTGAGTTTTGAAACTATCTGAAGTGAGTCAATCGTTTGCTTCATTGGTTCCAACGATCTATTTTAGTATGATTTACGCATACATAGGAAATGCGATGAGCATAAGCTAGCAGAATATAAACTACAAATCAAGGATGGATCTAAAAATCAAATTAAGACCAATCACGAATACCAAACCAGATGAATAAATAATTAGCGAAAAATTATTACCTTTGTGTATGCATGAATAGATTCTGAAGAGTTCTCAAGAATCGTTCTCCCCGAAGTTGTTAGAGTGTGGTGAATAAATGTTGGAGAAAAAGTGACCATACCTTTAAAAATGTGTGATATATTCGAGAAAACATGTGAAATGGCCATTTTTGACAAATTTTTTAATGGATTGGAAGGTATTAATAGAAATCTTAATTTGATTGGTGATATATGAGTTACTATTTTTATAAAATCTAAAGAAAAATTGTTTTAGATTTTGTTTTGAATAGAGATTTAAAATCATCAATTAAATGAGGTTAAATCAAAACCTATATGTTAGATTTTTCATGAAATATAAATAGAATCCATGAAATATATATAGTTGGATTGAGCATCAATAATTTTGTTCTTATAGAAATCTCACATTTTAAGAATTTGCTTTCGTTATTCTATATAACTAAGTGAAGGATCCATGACACAAATGAAGGACTAAAGAAAATTTTGGACTAGATGATTGAACTAACAATATTGGTATTTTGCTTCCTAGCCCATAAGCCTGAGGCAGTGATATACGAGGTTCTGACTAATGTTGCATAGTTGTTGATTACCAACACCAAAGGAAATTCAGCCGTGAAGGAAAATTTGTACCAATCTCTCATTACCTATAGTACATAAAATAGTGAATCAACCGATGTTAGTCCCTTGAGGAAATCCTAGGGAAAGCCGTGCCTCACTTTAAGTTTTCCAAATGAACAACCAAGGAGAAATACTCTAAGAAAAATAAATAGAAATAAGCTCCAAGAAATATGTATATCATGTGAACCATCAAGGCAAAAAGTCATATACTACTTTTGACAAACCTCAACAACTGGTACAACAAAAGTATTGACTACACAAATAAAATAAAATAATTTCTAGCCATGATGATCATAAGGCATTAATAAAAATGTTAACAATCCATTTATGAATGAATGATCATTAATTAGTCAAAGGGAGATTGAAATATTCTCATAAATCACCTTTGATGAATACATTTATGAGGCTATGACTTATCTAGGACAGTTGTATTTTTCTTGAATTTCTCGAAAAAAAAATTAGATGTATGAGTGCATAAGTTAATCATATGTATAAGAAATATTGTTCCCCGAGGACAATCCTGATGAGAAGTTGATCCCATCGTTCCGGAGGATGGTTCCACTATTCGAGGCCCATCATCCATTTGAAGATGTTAACTTAGGATGCCTTGAGTGACCAAAACCAGCACGTTGTTGGCTCAGGAACATAAGGAGCAGATGGTCGAACTTATTTGTGAGTTTCAAGACTATTTTTCTTGGGTGTATCACGAGATGCCTGGTTGGCGCGAGGATTGGTAGAACATTGATTGCCCACTAAGCCTTCTTGCTGACCATATAAACAAACCCCAAGATGGTTTAGCTCTGACCTACTTCCGAGAATCTAAGAGGAAGTAAAGAAGCTCCTGAATGCCAATTTTATCCGCACTTGTAGTTATACGGAGTGGATACCAAACATTGTACCAGTTATTAAGAAAAACGGGAAGTGAAGGGTGTGTAGATTTTAAAAGCTTAAATTTGGCCAATTCTAAGGATGAATATGGAATGAAAGTGGCAGATACGTTGGTAGATGCTACTGTTGGATACCAAATTTTATCATCATGGATGGATATTCTTGGTACAACCAGATTTATATTATTAAAGACGATACCCATGACAACATTCCACTGTCCGGGAGCTATAGAAATTTTTGAATGGATCGTGATGCTTTCTGGGCTCAAGAATGATGGTGCAACTTATCAACGATCAACGAATGCAATTTTCCACGATCTTATTAAGAGCTCTATAGATGTATATATAGACGATATCGTGGTGAAGTCCAAAACTTTTGATAAACATCTGGAGGATTTTCGGAAGTCTTTTTTGCGGATGCAGCAACATGAATTGAAGATGAACCCAGCCAACTATGGATTTGGTGTTCAAAAGGGTAACTTTTTGGGATTCTTAGTACATTGGAATGGGGTTGAGGTGGATACCAATAAGGCGAAAGCCATCCGATGTTGTGTCCGCCTCGGAATATTAAGAAGTTACAAAGCCTCATGGGAAAAATCAATTTCCTGTGAAGGTTCATTACTAACGCCACCGGGAAGATGAAGGAATTTTCAATACTATAAAGAGAAAACAAAGACAAGTTTGAGTGGGGTGATCTGCTGAAGATGTCTTCGGATTAAATCAAGGAGGTTCTAATATCCCCACTGGTGCTCATGCCACCCATCCTAAATAAGGAGCTGAAATTATTTATTGTTGATACAAAGGACACCATTGGCTGTTTGGGCTCTTTGAACCATCAAGGGAGAGGCAGTAGGATTTTTTGGCAAAGCACCAAGGGATGATTCAACTAAAGGAGATTCCATCAGCTTATATTGGCATGAGGTCATAGCAGTTCCTATTGACGGATCCAGTGGAAGAGGGTCTGCTGGAGTAGTCGATCACAGCTGCCCGTGGGATATACTAATAATCTGTGACACCCCAACCCGTAAGCCACTGGCCCCACAGGCCAGTATGAGTCTTTTTAGCGTGCTTTTATCCTCACTTACGCGCACCCTGGAAGACTTCCTAGGTGGTCACTCATCCTCAAATTAGTCTAGGACAAACACACTTAACTCTGGAGTTCTTTCAGTATGCCTCTCGAAAACGAATGTGCACATTGTTGACATGGGTCGTCTATTCAATCCATTTAATTAATATTCAACCTCGGATGACATGGCACCGGCTCATTCACAAGAGTTCGCCTAGCATCAGTCCAACTCCAAGGGTATCGGATAATTAGACAGAATACAAGGCATTATTGATGGCATTGCAGTTTTTAATATCAAAATGGGAAAGAAATGTCCATATAAAAGAAGATTCTTGAAGGAGGTTTTTTATGGCATCTCCAAAACCTCCTATTTAGGAGTGAATATTTGTAAATATTAGTGAATTGGTTTGTGTGAGTTAATAAAATGTTTTTATAGTTATTTTTAACTTTAAAACCATATAATATGCACTATAGTATAAGGTGATGATCTCATAATGTAGTGTAGGAATAGTATTTTCAGTATGAGCCAACTTAAATGTTACAATATATCTACAAAAGCATACTCAAGTAATCATAATTGAAAGAAATAATTTAGCAGAAAATATTTTAGACCACCTAGTTTCTTATAATAACTAATGATAGGTTGTAAGAGTAATATTCATGTATATTTTTCCTCCATAGGTGCAAATGTGAAAAAAAAAAAAAAAATTGCATGAAAAAGTTAACAGTATTATTCATTATGATTTTTATTGCGCATATGGCCAACAAGGAGAGGGAAGTGTGGTATGAAGACAACAATGAGATTTTGTTGAATCCACAATTCTACTAAAAATTGTACTTAATTTTTTTAATATTTTCGTATATGGGATGAATAAGGTCATGGTTGTAATCTCACAGCAATTCAAAAAAATAAAATATTATCGTAACCGAATGGCGAAACCAGCATCTAATATATACGAGGGCTAATTTTATTTTAAAATAACACAATTTATTTATACATATAAAATGAAATATATCTATTTGTGGTCAGACCATAGAATTGTTCATTTTGCCATATTTTTTAAAAGAAAATATTGATAAATAACAAACTATAACAATAATAGTTACATATTGCAAATATTAATTTTTTGTATTATTTAAAAATAAAAATATAGTACTATTTCTCTTCAGACAAAAAATTCACTCAAAAAGAAATTCTTTAAGATTGTCCAACAGCATGGAAATATAGAATGACATGAAAAGAAAATTTCTAAAAAGTCACATTCCAGCATTGAGAGCTCAAACTTTAAGAAATAAAATCTCTAGCATACAGCAACAACATGGTGAAACACTGTGTGAATACTGGGAGTGATTTAATTATCTTATTACTAGATGCATACAACATTAAATAATTGTATAATTATTAATCTAATATTCTTTTGATGGTTTGATAGCCATGGTCATAAGTATATATTATGAGTTGTGAAGCTTTAGTGAAAAATATCTTGAACCAATATATGCCTATTTTTTGAAGTGAAACTTTTTTAAGTTTGGAAAGAAGTTGTCTCTATTATATGCCTATTTGTGACTACCGGATCAAAAATGTCACTGGAGCAAAACAAGTTTCTTATATAGTTGTTTTAATATTTTTAATTTTTTCTCACAAATTCTTAACTTTGTTATATATATAAAAAAAAAAAAAGAAAGGGGACAAAAAGAGGACAAAAATAAAGGAAAAGAAAACAATGAAATAAAAGGAAGATGAACAAGAATTAAAAGAAGGCAAAAAGAAAATAAAAGCATAAATAAAAATAAATTGAATAAAAATTACAATTTATGTGGAAAGAGAGGAGTGGAGAGAGAGGTTCCTTATAGTGTGTCTCCTTACCTCTATAATCGAAAAATATTTTACCCACGGATAACAATATTACGTATATTGTTTTATTGCTTTATAATTTTTAAAATATTTACATACATATTTTAATTTATTTTAATCATATATTCAATTTATTTTAAGACTATAAATATTATTAATTCTATAAAAAATATTAAAATAATATGATAGGTCACTATTATTAACTAATTAAATATCATTATCTTAGATATTATGTCCCTAATGAAATGTGTCAACTATCTTGAAATGGATTGACTATTAATTACATATATATGTATTTTGTTACCGAATGCCTACCACAATAAATATTTTTAGAACTCGATCTCATAATATTGGTTAACTGAGGCGGTGAAATTTTCATAACAAAAAAATAATAATAAAGTTTGACAAAAGAATAAATTTTTTATTATGATAAATTTCGTAACCAATAATTTTATTATTACGTTCACCAAATCGCTACAAATAGTCATTATTTTTGCAATTCTAAGTATTCTTTTTTACGGTATAATTCGTAACAAATGTATTTATAACGATATTTCGTCATAATTGCAGTTATGGACCATTTATCGAAACAAATAAAAGATAAGTGTTGAGCTAATATAAAACTTTTTGTCACCAAAATTTTCGTAACTAAAATTACCTTTTGCTACAGACCTGTTGTTGCAGACTATAGAACTGCCACAGAAGGGGAGTTTTTTGGTAGTGAATTTTGGGACTTGATCAACAACATGGCTGAGAACACACAATAATTTGGTGCTCAAGATAGCATGCCGACAAAGGGACCGGAAGAGCTAGGTAATTATTCAATTCAACAACAGCCGAACAAGATAACTTTTTTTGTTCAAAAAATGGTTGTATGAAACGCAAAAAACGCGGGGTCATTCAAAATTAGTTTGAACACAGACCACCCAAATGAATTATGTCTCAAAATACACAAGGCTACCAGGCTCCAAAACCACATCCGAACACACAACCCCATCCACTCAAGAAGGTATGTCTTTTGAAATATGATTAATACATGGATAGTTTAATAAGAGACAATAAGACCATTTAGAGAATCATAAAGCAAGTGAATCAACGAAAATTTGACATCCAAACTCAGTTAAATGAAGTGACATCGAAAGGCTACCACGATTGCAAGCCCTTCTTAACCCACTCTTGAGGAGATGGATGAAGAGAAAATTGAAAACAACATTGGGAAAGTTGATGAGATAATTTTGGACCTCCTGTTAAAAACTTTCTAAGTTACCTCTTTTTCATAACAAGTTAAAGAAGCCACATTGTCATACAAAAGATAAGAGATAATGAAGATTTTTAACAAGGTAAAGATGAATATTCATTTACTGGATGTGAATCAAGCAGATTCTAAAGTACTTTAGGTTTCTGAAGAAGGTGTGCAACAACAAGAAGAAGTTGAAGCAAATGAGCCTATCGTTGCATGTTAGAGTATATGTCAAATATCTTAAAAAGAAAAATCCGACCCAAATATGGTGATCTAGGTATATTTACCATTCGTTGCAATAATGGTAAAAACTTAGTGCAAAATGTTATACTAAACTTAGAAACAACCGTTAATATTGTGCTTAAAATAATATATAACTCCTTGAATATAATATTGTTCAGATTAATAAGTTGTCATTTCCGATTGATTTGTATTTTGGATATGAATGATGCACATTGCGCTAATCCATGTTCTAATTTTCTTAATAGACCTTTCATGTGCCCATCTCAAACAAAAACATATGTGAAAGAGGGCAAACTAACCATAGAGTTTTATGATAATAAGATTTATTTTATATATATGATAAAGTACTTACTTGTTATAACTCTATGTATGTCATTAGTATTCTTGAGCCATGAATGGAGGACTTTTGAGCTAAATAGGATAAAAATTCTTGACACAAGATGAAAGCCACAAAATCTATTTGAGCACAACCATCTGAAGAGTGCAAAAGTTTTCTAGATATATTTTTTTATCGGGGAGGGTTACGGTGCTGAATTTGGAAAATCAGCACTGGTAAAATACAGAAACAACACTTGCCTTTATTACATTCAGCATGTGTTGTTTGTAATAAAAGCATATGATGTTTGTTCATAATTATAGCGTGTGCTTATGAGAGTATGTCATGTGCTAAAATCAACTGTTGTATGTGTTGTACGAGACTATATCATGAGTTGTTAGATCATGTATTGTATTTGTATTATATTAACGCATACTGTGAGTTGTCTACAGTAATATCGTGTGTTGTTTGTTACCACACGTTGTGTTATTCAACACAGTGCTTATTTTACATTCAACACTGTAGCCGCCTCCTTTTTTATCAATAGACTATTAACATATATATATATATATATGTATAAGAGTATACTGAGAATATGCTGAGAATTGTAAATATAGTAGGGATTATTTGTATCTATAGTAGGGTTAAATTTGGTGGATGTGCTTACCATAATTTAGAATTGAGTAGATCTATATAAAATTTGTATTGTTTAATCAATGAATAAACATAGAAATTTAATTCTTAAATATTGACTTAGACATTGGCTCAAATATGGTAGAACATGACCCAATTTGAAGTGGAAAATATGATCTATGATAATTCCATCAAATGACTAATAGCGCGCGAAAAATGCAAAGCAAAGGCACTTTTTGAGAGGCAATACAATATTTTCAATTGATTTTTAATTTTATTTTAGCTTTTGCTAGCTCCTTGCTGCTTAATAATAAGAAGTTTCTGTCTTTTGGTACGATTTGAAGATTTAAGAAAGAAGTAAATTCTTGGGAGGGGACTTGTTGATGGGTGGAATCTTGGGAAATTTCAGAAAGCCAAGTTGAGTTTATCATGACCATGACTAACACCACCTGCAACTTACTATTCTAAGGGACAACAAATTACAAGTTACCTTATGGATTTCTTTCCACCACTTATATTTCATTAACCTTAAATGCCAAACAAAACCCCTAATATTAAGTCTTACACATAACCCATTCTTTTTCCTCCTCAATCTCTACCATTGATGACCATCATCTTCATGTTTCTTCATCTTCCCTACCGGTGCTACCCTTGTCTCTCTGCCTCGTAGGCTGTTCAACCCAAGTATGATGGCTCCAACTAGCCACAAATGCATTCTTGAATTCCCTCATATTCTAGGATACTCTCTCTTCCATTCCCTTTTATTTTACATTGTTGACAATGGGGAGTTTAGGTGCGGGGAGATTGATTGGAGTAGATATACCAGTGTTATTGGATTATCTTGCCTATTTCCTTTTTGTGGCTTGTATGCCAATTGGAGTCAATGGTGTTCTCGATTCATAAATTTTTCCACCGTGAATGATGATGTTTGATTTTTTTTCAAAAAAAACAAATTGATCCTTTTTGACATACGTATACTTGTGAGAAATTGTATCTTATTATCTTATTATTGAAAGCTTCTATTCAATATTTTTTCTCAAGCTTTTAGAAATTTCATTTCGTAAATATGTGGTATTTGACTTGACATTCTAAAAACCTGCACGATTTGCCATATCTTTCTTTAATGAGTTTCAGAAACTGGAAAGGTACTATGGTGTTCATGGTGTTACAATCGGATAGAAGTGGATGGGTGTGATACCACTTTAATGAAACACTAGGAGAAAATAACAAAGGAGAATAAATGTATAGAATCTTCTTCACGTGTTTTCTTCACTACTTAGACACATATAAATATATACAGTTAAATACGATGTGGATAAGACCAATCCTATACAACCAAATCATTATTCTGCCATTATTCTCCTATCCAATTAATTCCATAATATAACACAACTTTGATTGAGCACAACAATATATAAATTTATACAAATACATATATATTCTTATAAATTTAGTACAAGGTTCTATTGAATGTTGCTCGGGCTGTTGATTATCAGCACCAAAGGAAATTCAATTGCTAGAGAAAGATGTACCCAACTCTCATAATTACCACTGGTGTATAAAAGAGTGGATCAATCAAGTGTATCCCCTACGGAAATTTCACTAAACTCGAGATTGCTAGATAAACACCTAATGAATATCGTATTTTTATTTTTCCCTAAAAATTAAAAATTCATTACCAGTTAACATTACTTTTAATAATAATATACGAGTTACTTTTTATAAAATTTATAAAATCATTTGATATTTTGTTTTAAATATATGTTTAGACTACACCATTAAATGGGGTTAATGAACACCTCAATGATATAAATTTTTTTATGATGCTTTCTTGATGTGTAATTGTAATAATCGTGAATATAAAGATAAATAGAATCCATGTAATATATATTATTAGATTGAGTATCAATAATTGTGTTTCTTATAAAAATCTCCCACTTTGAAAATTTGATTTATTTCTTCTATAGGGCTAAGAGAGGCACCAATGGAGGGCCAAGGTTTCCCATCTATCCAGTTTTTAGATTGACAGTACATTCTCATAAATTCTTTTGAACACCAAATGAGCATTATTGCACTAAATAAAATTACAGATCAATATAAGC